ATTGTGGGAAAATTCTATTACCAGTCCTTCATCACCTTACACGAAATAGGGTGAATACATCTCATTACACGGTTATAGTTAGTTTGGGAACCACGATTTTGTGAAATTCAACTGAAAAGTAAGGTCCATTCATATCATTGTGGTAAATCTTAATCGCCTTAAACGAAATAGAGCGAACACATCTCAGATATTTGATTTACTTGTTGTCTCAAAACCCTAATTACAAATGAAAAATAATTAATTAAGCTTGATGGAAAAGTTGAAGGAGCGAGATGGCGTTCTAAAAGAATGGAATTCAACTTGTCAGCTGAATGATGGTTTTAAACAAATTCACACTCGTTCAACAGGCATGTTAAGCTAATTAACCCAAACAGACATTCGAGTTGTGCAATCCCATTCGTGTTTTTTCTGCGGCTATTAAAGCTTGATGACTCCAGACTGACAGGTTCTGACTGGTGTTATAGTAACTTGACGTTCACGAGTACAGGCCTGCGTCTCATCAAAGTTATGAAGAAAAATGGGATCGGAGACTTCCTTAGTGATTTATTGTAAAATGACTTTCTATTTCGAAAGAAAAGTTGGTTGGAAGGAATTAATGAAATGGCCTCACCCGAAATCAGTGGATTGCAATGAAGTGAAGACTTTTCGATTGTGCGAAGAAGACCTTGGCTCAACATCCTGCGACTCGTTTGTACTGTGATAGATATTCTCTGAATAAGAATCAACACTTTACGAAATATGCGGATTGGCAAGATTGAGTGAAATTCATTGGAATCGTGGGACCCACTGCACGTTGTAGTGTGTGCCGCTTTTGCTATTTTTCTCTTAGTTTTGCATATATTTTGCGCTTTTTAGCAAAGTATGCATTCTTGTTCCGATTAATTCTGCCACAGTACACGGGTGAATCTTTGTTGCAGGACGGTGAGCCAAGGACTTATCAGCACAGTCTTCACTCCGCGGCAATCCTCCCTCACTTTCGAATGGGAACATTTCGCGAATTCCTTTCAACCAACTTTTTCTTCGAAATCGAAATTCTGGTCCCAATAACATCTTATCAATTCAACCATAATTACTCACAGGCCTACACAATCTCGATCATGCAATCCTTGATTATCCGGGGCTGACCTAAGGCTGTTTTCAAATTACTCTGAGTTATGTCCGATATTTCGTAAAGACATTAACACAAGCGCATACACACTCGAGTATGAGAAAACTTGCCAAACCATTCTATATCTATCAATTTCTAAATATCTTTTCATTATAAATATATCTAGCATTAACACTAAATCTGGTCAGTCTTGTTAACGTAAGACCTTTCCATGTATGAGTCCCAGAGTTGATGCTGTTTGTCAGGTGACGAACGAAAACTCAGCCCCTTTACACCCGAAACGAAGGAGGATGTCTCATGGATTGCGTCAGTCGGACAAAAGTACAAGAATAAGCCGTCACTTTCTGGTGAGATCGATCCAAGAATCTATTCATAATGCACTTTCATGCTCAATGGAAGTCTTCACAACAATGTTATCTTAGTAGATTAATCAAAACCCGCCTTTTTTTCGTCTTTTAGAAACTATATTTACATATTTAATTAGGGAGACCTGACTTGACCAGCAAGTCAAACACTAACACCTGACACTTTAAGCCAACGACCAAGTTTTGTCTGAGGGTGAGAAGGACCATAACCACCCAGATCTGCGTATCTCGCTTCGTCTACCCCCTGAGTGTCCTTGGATAGAAGAGACAATCCGTTCGATTCTCCCGCAAAGAGTATAAGCTCGAAGAATGAAAGACTCAGGGTTGCCCAGGAATGAGAAGGGAGTGTAAGGACGAGTCGGGGCCTAGGCCCTGATGGGCCAGTTGAGCGACGGACAGATTGTGCGTACAAAGTAGGCCACAATGGACTGTAAACAAAGACAAACTGGGCGGAATACATAAAACCGTTCAACTGCAGTAGAAATAAGGATACGGCTAAGGTGAAATCTGAGGCCAAAAGAGAAGGAAACGAGAATCGAAAAAGGGCAAAATGTTGTCTCATATGACCTCACTGGCCGAATCTGGCCTGAATCGGTCCAACGAGTTAGGCAGTGAAGCCAAATGAGAAACGTCAGCTGTGTCAAGGAAAGTCGCTAAGATCTATTCTCGGTATTGTTCAGTTATTGGCTGGCAGGAATGTGATTTCGTGTCAACATGCACAATTTGTCACTTGCCATTACAAGGACTGATAGCGACCCTAGCCACATGGAAAGGCAGCCAAGGCCTAATTATGTCTAAAATTCACTGCGCCACTTAACCAGTGGACAGCCGAGACAGCACACCGTCTCCCCGCAAGGCCTGCAGAGTAGTCATGATCAGCATGACGATGATGCATCGGAGGACAGGTCTGATCGTCAGAATCCATGATCGTTTGGTGAGCAGAAGTATGGGGATTTTTGAGAATATTCACAGAATCATGGAGGTGCTTCAAGGTCTACCAATAACTAGTAAGCCACAGGAAGTCTTGGGATGAAGAATGCTTCGATAAGAAAGCAGCCACAATTTTATGGGGTTTGGCGAATCCGTGAAAAGGGGATAGCTTGGTTGTTGGATAAATGTAGAAATGTTTGATTTTAAATAGTAGAGGGATTTCAGTTCCACTACAGCTTCCATCGAGAGGTGCACCAGAGTGCAAGGTAATAAGTTTTCCGTTGTCTTGATTCGGTAATGCGATGCCAACAAGCCCATTAATTAGGGCTTTGGGGCCGTTTTACAGTATATCTGCTAGCATAGGATCATGGGCAATACTACCTCCGGTAAAATGCATGTGAAATTAATTAACCATTAAGGTAAGAAACGGATCTTCGAAAGCACGAGGTAGATTTGGACTTGAATTCAGTGAAGATATTTTTAGACTCAAAGGGCCAGACTGAACGGGTTTGGAGGCGAGCACACATGTGATATCGCCTGTGTAAAGCCTCCCAAAAAGACACAATTCTTGATCATTCCAGACTAAACAGGCTAAAATTTATGATGAAGAGTGACTTTATCGGGTGAAGAGAAGAAGCATTACAATATTTCTGTATAAAGTTGGCCAAGTGATTGGCCTCATTTGTCTCTTCGACGAAGCGGACCTCATTGACGTTGCCCGCGAAACGTCCGGAACTGTACCAAGTCCACGATCCGATCCTGGAAATTATCATGATTACCATGGCGGAAGACTCAGAACAAGATGGGTTCATTGAGGTCTCTTTGATAAAAAAAACCAGGCCGGAAAGATTAGGTTAACCCACGCTAGTGTTTTCTACTATCTTTGTACCCATTTTAAAGGATTGGCAATCAAGATACAAATTTTTCTTCTTGGTTGGTTCATTCTTGAACTGCAATGTGAAGCCGCTTTCATCAATTCCCTATCCTTTATAGAGCATGACCTAATGCTTTCTTGAATAGAATATTACGGCCAAAACATTAGTTAGGACTAAAAGACTTACATGATTACACCGCGCAAATAAATTCATAGTTCCTATTTATGGCTTTAGCGAACAAAGGAAACACAAGATTCATTGACTCGAGGTCGTCACTCTAGGACCAGAGATTAAGTGAATTAGAGCTAAGTTAACGAGGCATGCGAACGTACGATATGCCTTACATCCGAGAATATGATTAAGCATGCTGTCAACAACTCGCCAGAAAAAAGAGTTAAGAATATTTTGGTATAATAAAACTTCGAGTCTATCCGTAATTATTGAATAAGAACTTAGCCAGCTTAGGTCACTTAAAGGATGTGAGGACTGGTCATTGAGTTTTCCCCAAACTGGATTCTATACCGAGTGATTAGCGCAGTGGAGATGTTAACACTTCACTACACAGACACGTAAGCCCATGGATCACAGGGAAGATGTGGCATTTAAGGCAAACTATGTCTCACCGAAATCACATTTTATTTAGTGGGATTGTCAATTAAGCAAGCATGTAATTGCAATTGAATTCGA